CCACGTGCAGTCAAATACTCCACACATTTGAGTTTTCCTGCAGAAAACTTCAGAAACCCGAGAAAACATGATATTTGTGCTTGTAAACATGAAATTGTATCCACTTGCGAAACAGATTGTGCTTTTCTCCAAAAACACTTTGATGGTGATTTTTTGGTTAAATTCCTCCCAAATTCCCCACCACTTTGTCCAGATATGCCTGGAGCAAACAGAAATATCTGGTTTGTTGTGGCTATCTCAATCACAGATCTTGCTGCTTCCTCTGGGTTTGTTTGATTTTTCTGGACATTCTCTAAGGCAATTATGGTTTTGTTTTTGTTTTTTTTTTATCTTTTATTTAATGAATATAAATTTCCAAAGTACGACTCATGTGTTACAATGGTTTCCCCCCCATACCGTCCCTCCCACCCACAACCCTCCCCTTTCCCACTCCCTCTCCCCTTCCATTCACATCAAGATTCATTTTTGATTATCTTAATATACGGAAGATCAGTTTAGTATGCATTAAGTAAAGATTTCAACAGTTTGCTCCCACACAGAAACATAAAGTGAAAAATAATAGATGATTTTTTTTAAATGATGATGAAATCAGATCAGACCTATTGTCATGTTTAATCCCAGTGAGAGTCAAGTTGGGAATTGATAATTTCTTTCTTTTTTTTTTTTTTACAGAAGATCAGTTTAGTATACATTAAGTAAAGATTTCAGTCGTTTGCACCCCCATAGAAACACAAAGTGAAATATACTGTTTGAGTACTCGTTATAGCATTAAGCCTCAGTGTACAGCACGTTAAGGACAGAGATCCTACATGAGGAGTAAGTGCACAGTGACTCCTGTTGTTGACTTTACCAATTGACACTCCTGTTTATGGCATCAGTAATCTCCCTATGCACCAGTTATGAGTTTCCAAGGCTATGGAAGCCCCTTGAGTTCTCCGACTCTTATCTTGTTTAGACACAGTCATAGTCAAAGTGGAGGTTCTCTCCTCCCTTCAGAGAAAGGCACCTCCCTCTTTGAAGACCTGTTCTTTCCACTGGGATCTCACTCACAGAGATCTTTTTGCCAGAGTGTCTTGGCTTTCCATGCCTGAAATACTCTCATGGGCTTTTCAGCCAGATCCGGGCACTCACATCTCTTATCAGGACACCCGGAAGAGTCCCAGCTGAACTACTGATCCAGCTTCCTGCTGCTGTGTCTGGGAGGCAGCAGATGGCAATGTCCTAAGTACTTAGGACCCTGCTGCCCAAGGGGGAGACCTGTATGGAGTTCTGAGATCCTGGGTTTGGCCTGGCCCAGCCTTGTCTGTTGCAGGCATTTGGGGAATGAGCCAGCAGATAGAAGATCTCTCTTCTTTAGCTCTCCTTCTCTGTCACTGTAACATTCAAATAAATCAGTAAATCTTAAGAGAAAAAGGTAGGTTTATTTTAATGCAAAACAGTTTTGAAATCCATGCATAGTTTTTTCATGAAATACACATTTTTCATGATTTTTTAAAAAATCAATTCTGAGCTCAGGTCAAGTGTAGAAAACTTCGTAGTTACAAAGGTCAGTTGGAAACCCTTTGTCATTGCTTCCATGGACTTTCTGAACATGCCCGTGCTCGTGGGGCTGTGTGCAGGGTCTTTGTCTTCACAGGGCTCCCCCTGCGGTGCAGTTTCCTGTCTTGCACGTTTCCAGCATTTCTCCCATCGCTTTGCCTTCTTGCTCATCATTCTGGGTTCCCTTCAGTGCCAGAGAAGCTTGGTGTGATGGCTGTGATTCTTAGAAGGTCGTTGTGCCTGCACTTCTGGCGTTAGCATTTTGTCATGCATCAGCCCATTGGCCGCTTCCTGCCAGTCTCGCCTCAGCCCCAGTGTTTCCTGGTCTTGCCAGACCTGATGATGAACTCGGTAGGGTAAGAGTTCAATTCCTCCTTGTTCACCTGAATGGTATCTGTAGTGTTGACGCATGGTAAAGGTACTTGTTGACTGGCTGGCCAGATGATTCCAAATGAATTAAGAAGCTTCAAAATGTGTTAGTCTTACAGTAGAAACATCAGTGTGTTTGATAAGGTTTTCTGTGCTTTCTCTGAAGCTGTAAGAACAGCGATTTCTGCTCTGGTGGGGCAGCTGGAATAGACACCTGCTGGGCTTTTCCTCAGTCTTTCTGGGGCTGGCCTTGTGGCAGAGCAGCTGAAACTACCACCCTCAGTGCCAGTATCCCATGTGACCTCCAGTTGGTGTCCCAGCTGCTGCACTTCTGACCCAGCTCCCTGCTAATGGCCTGAGAAAGCAGCAGAAGATGGCCCAAGGGTATGGGCCCCTGCTACCTGTGTGGGAGACCTGGAGGAAGCTCCTGGCTTCTGCCTGGCCCAGCCCTGGCCATGGCAGCCATTTGGGGAGTGAACCAGTAGATGGAAGATCTCTCCCTGTGTCTCTTCCTCTTTCTCTGTAACTCTGACTTTCACTCCTGTAAATAAATCTTTAAAAAGAACTAGCCAGCACATTATGGTTACAGTAGGGAAAACTTTCCGAAGGAAAACTGCTGTGCTTGGCTCCCACTGATTGAGTTTCTGCTGTGTGCTGGGCACTGGGCTACATGCATTCCCTGAACATCATATTTGATTTTGCAAGAATCATCCTACAAGGTGAGGCTGCACTCATTTTATAGATGAAGGTGTAGGCACCAAGAGATTAAGGAGCTTGCCCTGGATTGACAAAGACTCCTTTGTACAACCTAAACACGTTACTATTACCACATAAAAACGTCACAGTTTCTCCTGAATAGCAAATACCCAGTGTTCAAAATTCCTTAATTACTTTCACAGATTTTTCTCTTCAACTGGCGGTTTGCAAATGCTGGGAGCAAAATACAAGATACAAGCAAAAATACAAGCAAAAATTTACAAGCTTTTGCTTGTAAGAGTGAGTGTCCGAGTCTCAGAACAGGTGGATTATGGAGGTGACAGCATGCAAACTGTAGAGGTGGCCTGGCACTGCCGTCTTCGTGCACAAGAAAGCTGAAGTCAGTGAGGACGCATGCTGTCTTTAACATGGAAACCACAGTGCACTTATTGATTAGGGAAAAGTAGGTTGTATTCTCTGCAAAATGAGAACCAGAACGTTTTCAAGCCTCAGAATCATCCAACCAGAGAGATTACTTGGAAATGAAGACCGGAGTTGGAGGAAAACTGGCTGGCTGGGGTAGAAGAGCTGGAAGTGCCACACAGAAGTGCTCCCCTGGGTTCCTTGTGGTGGCAACGTGGCTTGGGAGAGTGTTTTCGTGTTCCCATCCACGTCTTCACTCTCCAGATGCCCACAATAGGTGGGGTTGGTCTGGGCCGAAGGCAGGAGCCTGAAACTCAATCCAGACCGCCCATGGAGGTGACGGGGCTCTAGTTACTTGAAGCGTAGCTGTTGCCTCCTAGGGTCTGCATTAACAGGAAGCTGGAGTCGGGAGCTAGAACTGGGTATAGAACCCAGGTATTCTGATATGGGATGTGGGCATCTTAACTACTAGGCCAAATGCCCACCCGTTCTGTCTATAAACGGAGTGAAAGGGAAATGAGAAGAGATGATGTGGGTAGTCAGTGGGTAGACCTGTGACTGACACCAGCCAGCCTGACTTGGAGTTCAGGGCTTACTTCATGCAGAAAAGGTAAAATTTTAGCCTTGAGTTATGAATGCAGTTTACCATTTTCTTTGATCATAGACAGAAAATAATATTTTCCTGAATAATTTAGGTGAGACAAACCCTCTCAGACTCCTTGAGTAAAAAATTCTGAGAGTGAGTCATTCGCTGAAGCAGTAAAAATCCGAGCCATGGTATTTGTTATTTATAAACTCCATGAAAAGGAGAGAGAGGTAAGTAGTTTAATAAAGAAAACTTCCATAATTACTGAGCAGGCCAGTGCCACGTGAATCTTGCCTGGGGAATGCACTATTAAATCAGACAACGATGTAGGGTTCCAGGCTTTTCAGTGGTTGGAAATTCATTTCCCAAGCAATAGCCGCACACTTTGAGGTTGCAGTCCTCCCGGACACCTGTTGGAAATAGCATTTGCCTGAGGATGTGAAGGATGAGAAGTGAGGGCCCCGTGGGCTTGCTTTCTTTGCCCGGAGGGTAGGAGGAGCTGCAGTTTCCAGGCCAACCGCTGCAGGTGGGCCCTGCGAAGACAAAGGAGCCTGAGATGCTGGCCCTTGACTGTGGGAAAAAGCACAAAGAAGGTGGGAGTTGGGCCACACGCCTGTCACGTCCTGTGAGAGATGATGGAATCAGGGTGTGTCTATCACTTGGGGCAGGATTTTGAGAAAATACTTACTTGGATTTTTTTGTTTGTTTGTTTATAAACCCTATAACAATGCTTAGGGATAGTTAGGAAGACCCTGAGAAACATTTCCTATGACGTTAGATCATCCTCTCTTAGGAAACAGAACAGCATAATCCACAGCGAAGGCACCCGTTCCCCGGTAGCGAGAGCCTCTCTGGAGGCCTCAGTGTGCCAGGTGCGAAGTGCGGCGCTGCTCGTCTCGCCTCCATCGCCGCTCTGCTGGCGCCTCCTGCGCCTGTACAGAATGTTTTCCGGAGCGGTTTCTGAAAACAGCCATATCCTACAAGTCTCAGTCTCTGAGGAAAAGAAGCTGGGGCATTTGGAGTGGAAGGATGCTGGGAACAGCTGCTCTGCACCTGCGGCTCCTGGGAGCCTGAGCCTGCACCTTGAGCTCCTACGCACACCTGCGAGTCTCCCGGGGCCACAGCGTGGCCCTGCGGAGTTATTCTTGCATTTCTCTGTCCTGCTCCCAGAAGGATGCAGAGAACTGTGTTGAGCAGCTCCGAGCAGTAGCGTAGCTTCTGTAAGGAGCCTCTTACCCTAAAGGTGTGTGTGAATCCGTGGGGTCAGAGGGCGTGTGTTTAGAGACGATGGGCTTGTGGGGGTTGGGGGGGCTGGACATTCTCTGCCTTGGATGTTAGAGAATTGTGTTTCCTGATGCGGAAGGGAGTTTACATCCCTGGCATGCGGGGGTGCCAACAGTCTACCTCAGTTTGTAAGTTAGCTGGGACTGTTTCCCTTCAGCCAGTTGACAAAGGATAACTGTGACTGTGTCCCCTCTCAGAATCCTCTGGCTTTTCCTGTTTCAGATTTTTTTTAAAACCTTTTTTTTTTAAAAAGATTTATTTATTTATTTGAAAGAGTTAGAGAGAGGTCTTCCATCTGCTGATTCACTCCACAGATGGCCTCAACTGCTGAAGCTGTGCCGATCCAAAGCCAGGAGCCAGGAGCTTCTTCCTGATCTCCTATGTGGGTGCAGGGGCCCAAGGACTTGGGCCATCTTCTACTGCCTTCCCAGGCCATAGCAGAGAGCTAAACAAGAATTGGAGCTGCCGGGTCTCGAACCGGCGCCCATATGGGATGCTGGTGCTTCAGACCAGGGCATTAACGCATTGCACTGGCCCCTCAGATTTTTGTTTGGAAAAAAAAAAAAAAAAAAAAAGACATTTTTCTTTCTTTAGGCCCAGCTGGAAGAGTGGCTTGCCTAAGTTAGGATAGGAAAATGTAGCCCGGACATGATCGTAGACTGAAAGGTTGCTGTAGGCAAGTGATGACCAAAGCCCAGTTATGACGTAAGAGGCCCTGCTTCCCAGAACTGTGGCCTGGGGAAAGCAAGCCCTTAGCATATGAGGGCCAGGTGCTGAGAACGCCCAGACTCCAGATTTGGCATCCGTGTTTTTGTGTGCAGCACGGTCATTGCTGCCTCGCAGGGAAGGCACCTGCTGACTTCATGCTAAGGTCAGTCTCCGACTTTCAGGGTACGTGTGTGAAAGGAAAGATCTGCTGGTGAATGGCTGCTGTAACGTCAACGTCCCCAGCACGAAGCAGTACTGTTGCGACGGCTGCTTGTCCAACGGCTGCTGCAGCGCCTACGAGTACTGCGTCTCCTGCTGCCTGCAGCCCAACAAGGTACGGGAGCTGCTCCCTTGTGTTCTCGTGAGCTTTAGGCTTTTCCTGGAGGCAGAAAAGAACCAGCTGCATGGTACAGTAGCCATTGTCTTCCAGTGCCCTGAATGGTTCTTCTGCAGGGTGGATCATTGTGTTGCTAATCAGAAATCTCATGAATAAGGTCCCTGGCCCCCAGCCTCCTCCCTCCTCGGGTCAGCATTCTCTTAGTTAGGAGGGATTTCCAAGGTTACCTTGTGCTGCCTTAGTCTGGAATTTATTACAGGTACAACTTTTGTTTCCATAGCAACTTCTCCTGGAGCGCTTCCTCAACCGGGCGGCCGTGGCGTTCCAGAACCTCTTCATGGCAGTCGAGGATCACTTTGAATTGTGCTTGGCTAAATGCAGGACTTCATCCCAGGTCAGAGGCTGTGAGCTGCCGCTGGGGGCAGGGGGGGTGGGTAGGGTGGCGTGAGAGTCGGGCTGGGGGAAAACAAGAAGGTAGACTTTGGGTTGGTGATGTGGAGAGGAGGGGCGCACGGAGCCCTGCTGTGTTGGGTGGAGTGATGATGCTTAGAATGCCAGCTTGAGATTCAAGCTTTGTCCAAGGTAGGGGAAGCACGGCTTTTGCATTCAGTCAAGGCTTGTGTCTCCTCTCTGGTTGGCACGTTCACACTTTGAGTGTGAGCTCAAACTTATTTTGAAATCTGAGTGGAGTCCTCGCATTCCAGCTGCCTAGAGAAGTCGTCCCCCACCCCGTCTGTGAGATTTAATGATGGCTTTCTAGCAACTGCGGTTTAGAGTAAGCAGTAATCTGTTCTGGGTCAAAGTTACGGTTTACTTTAGGAGTCAAGGGGCAGGAACAGGTGGTGGTTAGGAACACACCAAGACGGGTGTAGGGTGTCCAGCTCTCAGCTCTCGGTGCGTATCAGCATGCTGTCATTAAATGCGCTGCTCTTTGGTCGTCGCGTATCGCACTTGCCGCAGGAAGCGCCTGCTTCTTCGACGCCCCGTTGGGCAGTTGTCGCAGGCCTCTTGGTGAAGCCAGCAGACGTGTTGATCACACAAGCACACTTCTCCTGGCTTCTAGTCGCGGCGTCATTTGGCGTTCCCTGTCGCTCTCGTACCCTTTGCCAGATTTCTGTCCTCCGCCTTTTGCTTTTCCGCCCCTTTTTGTGTGTCTGGTTTGTTCAGAGGGTATTCAGTTTCCCTGGGTAAGTGTTGCAGGGATTATAATGAGCGCTGGAAAACATGAAGACGTTCCTGACGGTCTTGTTTTGCTTGAAGAGCTTTCCGCTTGAATGGCTTCAGAGGGACTGTGGAGGAAGGCGGCACGCACGACTCGCTGGGTTCCGATCCTCTCGTTCCGAAGTGCTGGGAAAGGCCAAGTCTTCTCTTTGCTTAACCGATAAAACCCGGGGGTATTTCCAGTCTTCCGTGAAGCTACCATCCTTTCTGACTTTGCCTTTTATTATAAACAGAGATTTCCCAGTTGCCATTCAATGTGTTTTGATAACAGTATCCCAAGAAAGATGCTTTGGCTGTATGTCTATTAAATTGGATTAATACTTACGATTCAGTTGCTTAGCATTGGTCTCAGGGTAATTAGAGAACTGTAGATGAGCCAAAAACGCAAGTTGCTTGTATGAAAACAAATTGCTGAAAAATTAGCCATCAGGGATGATTGTGTGCCTTAAATCATGCCCACAGCTTGCTCGTCCTGTGAGGTTTGCGTGGTACGCTGGGCCTCGGCGCACGCAGCCGCCTGTGGGCACACGAGCGTTACGAGACGCCTCCCGAGCCTGGGCTTCCTTCCCAGGAACTGAGGTTCTCGGAGCGCAGGATCAGGTGCACACACCCTCTGGATCTTAACCTGTTTTCAGTCATTTAAAAAGAATAAGTGTCTTGAGTCGCCGAGGTCACGGCTGTGTTGCTAAGCTCACTGGTGGGCGTGGAAAGCAGCAGCCTTGCGGCGATGTCACTTTCATGCCCTTCACTGGCACTGTGCGGAGCACCCTTTGTTCCGCAAAGTGCCTGGGCGCCTCTAGTGGGTGTGGAGATGGACGTGGGCCGCCTCCTGCAGGCCGTGTCTGCCGGCCGCTCTGCTCTCTGTGTGCAACTCTGCTGTGTCTCACCACCCTCCTGTCTCCCTTTTGCCCACAGAGCGTGCAACATGAGAACACCTACAGGGATCCCATAGCAAAGTTCTGCTATGGCGAGAGCCCGCCCGAGCTGTTCCCTGCGTGATGGGCGCTGCCTGCTTGGGTGGCTGGGGCAAGGAGCCCCCTCTGATGAACTCAGCGCCTGGAGCTGGGCTGCAGCACCCAGGCTGGTCCACGGGGAGAAGACGGGCAGCGTGAGGAGGCCTTGGCTGTGACCTTCCTTGGTCGCGCACTGCCCAGGCATTGCCAGCTGGAGCTGTTCTGTGAAGCGGCCTGGAGCCTGGCTTGTCCCGCTCTCCAAGGACAGACCGTGGGCCGGGTGAGGGTGGCGGCCTTCGGAGAGGACGCGGCCCCGGCGCGTGCTCCTCGGGCCAGGTGTTCACCTCCAGTTTTGCCATGGGCCCTTTCACTGTAAAATTATTTATTGGATTTTTCTGGCATGGTGGGAAAGTTGTAAAGTTGTATATGGGAATGCGCCTTGCCGGTTAGTCAAATACACTCAAGGAAATTTTGTTCTGGTCGTTGGTCCTTGTGTTACGTGAATTACAGCATCACTTTGCCTCTGGAATGTTTGTCTCTTCGAATGAATGCTCTCTGTAGGTATTTACCAGTGTCTCTAGAAGTGAGCCCTGAATACCACCTGTTAACTGTGTCCTGGCCTCGGAATTTGCCCAAGAACTCAGAGACTGCTCCACTCGGACCCCAGGCCAGACCTGAGGCGCCCCAGGTCCTCTCTGCACGTGTCTCCTGCCTGGGCGCCCCAGGTCCTCTCTGCACGTGTCTCCTGCCTGGACGCCCCAGGTCCTCTCTGCACGTGTCTCCTGCCTGGGCGCTCCTGGCTTGCCGTTTTCGCGTTTCCTGTGCTGTGTTGAAATCACAGCGGTCCCCTCGGCCCTGGCGCGAGGGGAGCCTCGGGACGACCCTGGGCCGCTGCCTCTCGTCCTGTCCCAGAAGCCACTGTGAAGGTGGTTCCTCAGTGGAGATGCAGTTAGCAGCCTGCGGTGTGCCGTCATTCGTTTGTTCGTTCGTTCTCTGTTGCTTTCAGCTTTGGGAGGTGTAGGTACAATGATCAACTTCCCTGATTTGAGAAGAAGGAAAGAAATCCTGACTTTTCTCCCAGAGGACTGCAAGAGATTCTTAGCTCACCTGAGTGGGTGACGTGCATGTGCCTGACAGCCTGGAAAGAGCCGCGTGACAGCTGCCGGGATGTCCTCGGTGTACAGGCTCAGACCCCTGCGATTTTCAGCTGGAACATGGAAGAGCGTTTGGTCCTAGGATCAAGACATCCTTTGCCTTGCATGGCACTGCTGTTGGGCTTGGGAGGCCCGGCTCTTCCCTGGACTCAGCCAAGGTCTTGCTCATCTTTTCTGCCGCTCGGTTGCCTGACCTCAGAGCAAACTGCTGCTTCCATGACCCCCTTTCAGCATCTGTTTTTCCCACTGGTGCTTTCTTTCTCTTGGGCCTTGTTTGCTTTCTGCTGTGTCCTTTCACTTCCTCCTCCTGCTGTGTGTGTATCTTACACTTATCCCAAGGTCATTGGCTCCCCGGAATAAGCTTTCCTAGAGGGTAAACTGCCAGGCAATTGTTTTTTCATTATTAGGCCCCAGGAAATCTATTCTGTTTGCCTTGGGCTTCTCAGATCCTGTGTGTACTCAGCAGCGCTAAAATCAAAGCTTCTGTGAGTGGGAGGGAACCCTGGCCCGTATGCCTGTTTTCATCAGCCTCATCCTTTCCGGTACCGCGCTGTGGGATTTGAGCGTCAGTCTTCCCTAGGTTGACCCGGCTAGCAGCCTCTGTGTTGAGCTTGTTGCCACGCTTGAGTAATGTAACCTGGATTTAACGTGAGCAGTTTGTGTCAGAGGTCAGCCTGTGCCTGTTTACGGAGCCTCTCCGACCTTGACTTGAGCAGCACGTCGTGTATTTTCAACGTTTTCACACCCGGTACCTGCGGCCTTACAGGAAGAGGTTTGCACTTGCTTGTGTTTCTGCTTTGCAGACGGGGAAATGGTGAGAGGTGCCGCGACCTCCAGATCCCCATTGAGACTTCATGACAAAACCCAAACAAGAGCTTCATCTCGAATTCTCAGTCCAGCGTTGCCACTGCCCCTGCCCACTGCAGCGCTGACTCATCCCTGAGCGTCTCCCCTGAGAGCGTATAGATTTCAGTCGTCCAGGTCCAAAGAGGGGTGAGGTGGCATAAATATCCAAATCTGGCAGATAATCCAAAGGTCACTTCCATCTGGCTGTGGGGTATGTTTTTTGTACTTAAATCCGTTAGGGGTGTGTTCACTGTTTTGGAAACTCAGGGTGCTTCAGACCACGTGGGGGAGCCAGGCCACCCAAGCCTCTGCAGGTGGTCAGCCTCTCTGGCCTCCCATACAGATCCCCATTCTCCACCGCGCATTATTTCTGGTTCCCTTGACCAAGGGTTTCTCAAGTGGGGAGCTTGTCTGACTTTTATATGCACAGAGCCTAGCAAAGCGTGGGCTGGATGGTGAGCCTTTAGGAAATGTGTGAGATCCCGAGTGCTTTCGGCTGAAGGAAGTTGGGTAATCTAAAGTGTCTCCCTCGGTTCTGCATCTTCCTCGGCTCGCTTGTTGCTGGAGGTGTGGAGACAAGGTAGGCTGCAGTGGAGAGGAGCACAGAGTAGAGTGTGTGTGCCCGGCTCTGAGGCTGAGGGGCACCCGCCATGGAGGGCCTGATCGGCAGTGAGGTGGGCCTGGACAGCCCGCCCCGCGGCTGCGAGTGAAGGGTGAGCTCCACAGTGCCTGGAAGAGCAGAGGGGACTTTGGAGCAGCAGCTGCGCCTCCCTCTGCTCCCCAAAGGGCCTCCTGGAAGTGCCTCAGTCAGTGCTGGTTCCCGGGGAACTGCGGTGAACAGGCACAGAGTTTGCAAGATTCCAAGCAAGCTTCTCCCATCCTTGGGATTTGCAGATAAGTTGTAAACACAGTTGGTACAAAGATACTGTTTATTTGGTGTCAGTTCAGCTTTGACCATCCTCGCGTCACTCCATTAATTGATACCAGAGATACCATTTACTTGGCACACTCTTCATAGGCCCGTTACAGTTGGGCCTTGGAGTTAGTGGATGCTGCTGGCTTCTTAACTCTTCTGAGTCTTTGGGCCTTTCATCCGTGAAGTGGGGTCACAGCAGCCGCCTCTTGTAGGGCTGCTGCGAGGTGTTGGTGTGAGCAGGGGCCTGTAGGCTTGGAGCTCAGCAGAGAGCAATAGTGGGTAGAGGGCAAGAATTGAGGGTGGGTGGGCTCCTAGAGTTGAATGGGTGGTCATTGAAGGGCTTTTTTTTCTGTCTTTATTTTTAATCTTGTATCACCTTTTCCCCAAAGAAACCTTTTATTTAAGGAGTACAAATTTCCTAAGTACAACTTCAGGAATATAGTGATTCTTCCCGCCATACCCACCCTCCCACCCCTATTCCACCCCTCCTCCTCCTCCTGCCTCTCCCATTCCCAGTCCCATCCTCCATTAAGATTCATTTTCAATTGACTGTACACAGAAGACCAACTCTGTACTAAGTAAAGATTTCAACAATTTGCACACATACAGAAAAACTGAGAATTAGTTTTACAGTTAATTCTGATAGCACAACTCATTGAGGACACAGGTCCTGCATGGGGAGTTAGTGCACAGTGATTCCTGTTGTTAATTTAACAATTAATACCCTTTTGTATGACATCAGTGGTCACTCGAGGCTTTTGAATCCACAATCTTCCTCAGTATTTAGGGCCATAAGCAAAGTGAGAGTTCTCTCCTCCCTTGGAGAAAAGTACATCCTTCTAGATGGCCACTTCTTCTGTCCACTGGGGTTTCACAGAGCTCCTTCATGTGGGACATTTTTTGCCATAGTGTCATGGCTTTCCATGCCTGAAATGCTCTTATGGGCTTTTCAGCCAGGCCAGATGCCTTAAGGGCTGATTCTGAGGTCAGAGTGCTATTTAAGGAGATTGTCATTCTGAGTCTGCTCTGTGGACTGCTTCCCATGTTGGGACATTTGCTCCTTTTTAATTCTATTATTATCAGACATTTGATCTTATTTATAGGATCCCTTTAACACTTAATCCTTTCTATATGATCACTTTAACACTTAAGATAGCATTTTTACCACCCAGCTTAATTGGATTTGGGGTCCTGTGGCAAGTTTTTTTTTTTGTTTTGTTTTGTTTTGTTTTGTTTGACAGGCAGAGTAGACAGAGAGAGAAACAGAGAGAAAGATCTTCCTTTGCCGTTGGTTCACCCTCCAGTGGCCACTGTGGCCGGCGCATCGTGCTGATCTGAAGCCAGGAATGAGGTGCTTCTCCTGGTCTCCCATGGGGTGCAGGGCCCAAGCACTTGGGCCATCCTCCACTGCACTCCCTGGCCACAGCAGAGAGCTGGCCTGGAAGAGGGGCAACCGGGACAGAATCCGGCGCCCCGACCAGGGCTAGAACCCGGTGTGCCGGCACTGCAGGCGGAGGATTAGCCTATTAAGCCGTGGCGCTGGCCCAGTGGCAAGTTTTTAAACTGTACCCTTAGAAGTAAGTCTGTATAAATGCATGCAGAACTATACAGCTTTACAGTTAGAAACTTCCTCTTCCCTCTCTTATTCCCACTCATTTTTTACTGAGATCAATTTCAATTGACTTTATACACACATGATTAACTCTATTTTTCTTGATTTTTTAATGAGTGGCAAAGAGATGGAGAGCTCCCTTTGCTAGTTTACTCCCCAAATGCCCACAACAGCCAGGGCTGGGTGGGGCTGAAGCCAGGAACCAAGGAACCCAGTGTAGGATTTCCACATGGTTGGCAGGAACCCAACTACTGAGCCTTGACTGCTGCCTCTCAGGGACTGCATTAGGAGGAAGCTGAAGTCAGGAGCCAGAGCTGGGAATTGAACCCAGGTACTTCTGATTTGTGCTGCAGGTGTCCCAAGCAGCATCCTAAAACTTTGATTTTTAAGTGCTTGAGCCGTTATGTGCTGCCTCCCACAGTGCACATGGGCAGGAAGCTGGATTTGGAAGAAGTGGCAGGACTCGATCCTAAGTGCTCTGGTGTGGGATAAGGACATCCTCAGCGGTGGCCTACCCTGCTTGCCACCATGCCCACCCCGGTGTGTTACCATCTTCAAACTCCCTGCCCGTGCATCTCAGTGTTCTAACTTGTGTCTGTCTAATTTCTGGTGAGGTGAACCCCATTTCATGTTTTATTGTTTCCTGGGATCGATTGCTTGTTTGTGACACAACCATATATTTTTTTAAAGATTTATTTTATTTATTTGAAATACAGAGTTACAGAGAGAGGTAGAAACAGAGAGGTCTTCCATCCGCTGGTTCACTCCTTAGATGGCCGCAATGGCTGGAGCTGCGCCGATCCGAAGCCAGGAGCCAGGAGCTTCTTCTGGGTCTCCCATGCAGGTGCAGGGGCCCAAGGGCTTGGACCATCCTCTGCTGCTTTCTCAGGCCATAGCAGAGTTGGATGGGAAGAGGAGCAGCCGGGACTAGAACCGGCGCCCATA